TTTTTTTTTTTTTTTTTTTTTTTTTTTTTTTTTTGAATATTTTCGTTGACAAAAATTGATGATGATAATTTTTTGCAGATATGATTTATATTTGTAATATCACGAAAGAAAACGTGCATTAAAAGAAAGAAAACGAAAATATTCGGTTTAATAAATTATCGTATAATTCGATATGTTTCATAATTAGGAAATTTCAATTGTCAAAAATGGGAAGTTGAAAGTGGGGCACACGCGACGAGGAACTTGATAAATATATTTTTCGGTAGAATCAACCGGGAAAAGTATAAATTATGGTCGCGTATAAAAGTTAAGGACGGATATCAAGAAGAAATAGCGGGACTGTTAGTCTTGGTGCACTTTCGGTCGCATAAATTTTCCTTGCGCCGAATTTATCGCGGGGACCAAGTTCACATTTTCAAGTATTTTCCCTCTGTTTCTTTATTCGATAGTTTGCGACGGTGGAAAAAGGAGACACTTGAGAAACATTGAATCCTGGCCAACCCAGCCAAAGTCATTCGATCTTTACGACCATCGCTTCCGAAACTTTCCAACTCCGCCATTTTGTCAAATCGCGGGGATCACTTTTATTCCCAAACAGTCGTTTAAACTTCTATCCAAGCCGAATTAATAAAATTTAGCCGTGTATCGACCGAGTATCGTTTATCGACCGAGGATAATTACCCGACAAATTCGATCGAAACGACCAATTATTCCGATTTTTATCAACCGAGTATGATATATATATATATATTGTATATTTATTATATTTTTATTTCGTCGTGTTTAATTTTACTTAAATGAACGCGATCGTCAGTCTAGATTTCATTATATCCCGTTTATTATGAAGTTTATTATGATTGTGTCGCTCTCGTGAATTAAATTATCTAACAATTTCATCGCATATCGAGCGATTATAAAATTTATCGACGGTACGTATCATCGCCCGTCAAGAAAGATTTATACATCTGACTACAATTTCCACCTTCCACCGTTTAATTTCCAAAATTATTTCAATTATTGCAATCATCATCGTCCTCGTCGGCTTAAAAAATACAAAATCGACAAACAACGCGTGAACATTTGTTCGAGAATTATGACAACGAATCAATTTAAAAACGATCAATATTACGAATATATCGAAGGATCGCGTTTCAACGATGATTCCAAAAATTATTTCACATCGTTAATCTATCAAAACAGAATTCTTATTCGCAATAAGCAAGCTTCCACGAAACATTTCAAGTACCAAAACAAATCTTTCTCTCTCTCGTCGCTTAATACCTTCTCAACCATCACGAAAATCCGTCGAAATATTCGAAAATAATTTTATCATCTTCTGCCTCCTCCTCTCACCACCGCCAAGCTGGTAGTCGAATGAGTACTGGATAGAAGAGGCGAAAATTCGAGGGCACCTGCACCCTCCCTCCCTCCTCGTTTCGCATTTATACCCCTCCGACATTGTTCCACACCGGAAATCCCGGCGACTTCCGTCCTAGACGACGCAGCAACGCTCCATTCCGACCAAATAAATTACGATTCC